CCCCCCCCCCCCCCGGCCCGCGGGACCAGCCCGCCCCTCCCCACGCCTCCTCCCGGGCCGGCGGAAGCGGCCCCCAGACCCGGCCCCTCAGCTCCCGCGGCTGTTTCTTCGCTCCAGGGGGAGCTGTTCACGTGCTCTCCGAGCAGGGGCCCAGCAGCCAACACACGGCGAGTATGGCCCCCCCGAAGGCGCCCCCCGCGGGCCTCTGCGGTCACCGGGGCTTGGCTCGCCCGGGGCACCGGCCGGAAGCGCGGCGCGCAGGAGCCCAGGCCGCCGGTGGGGGGAGCACCCCCCCGCACCCCCGCCGCCTCTCCCACCGCGCGGCGCTCCCCACCCCCACCACGGGCGGGTCTCCCGGAGAGTTCACTCAGTGAAAGTGAATTTCTCCCCGGTGTCCTTCCTACCTCCCAGCATTGCAAAGCTGCGCAGGATTCCTAACAGCCAAGTTTGAACCAGAGTGTTTGATGTCACTGGCAAAGTATTGCTTCCTCATTTAATCAGAAGAAACGGCTAATCCTTCCTCGTGGTAACAGCCCTGCCGAGGATCTGTATCGCCAACGACACCAGGAGGCTTCGCTTCTTTCAGATACCACCCTCCCTGTCCACCACTCCACACGGGGGTTTCGAGCGCTGGGTCCACCATCCCAGAAATCCTAGCTCAGACAGACGCTCATCAGGGAGAGTCTAACGGCGCGAGGACATGTTCCCCACCCCACCTCCAGCCCCCAACACTTGTAAAACGGATGTCGGGGGGCCACGATTTCCCAGACTTGTGCAACGCTTGGTACTGGCTCCTAGTGTAAGGGCTGGCTCCAAGAAGATGAGGTCTATTTAACAGGGCTGGTGGAGATATCTGCCTATAAACAGGAGAGTGACGAGGGAATCATTGGACTGATAAACTCCTTTCTTGGTAAATTCTCCACGGCCAGAAAAAGTGCTCAGCGCTCTAGAAGGAGTTGCATAATGATTCAGAGACCTGGCTCACCCATTGCCCTGGCGCTTCCCCTCTCTCATCCCCAATACCTTTTCCCTCTTAATGGAAAATCTTGCATTCTCTTAGTTATCAGATGGGGGGGCTAAGAGTGGCTCCTACTTCGTAGTGAAGAGCTGTTGTGTTTTAAATGAATTAATGTGTATGTAAGCATTTAGAACAGTGCCACACATCCTAAGCTAATACCTGTTAGTTCTTAAATTATCCATTTTGAGGATTCTCTTTGCAATCGTGTTGTGAGGTACAGAAAAAAGAAAATGCTTTGGATAGAATTATCAGTAATACATAAAAGGAAGATCGAGAAGAACTTAATCACTGAAAATTGTTGGACACCCTCCACCACCCTTGTATTTAATGAAAACTTAAACAGAAGTCATAACAAGCAAAAGAAAATAGGAACAAGGTTCTAATTTGTTGTGTGATTATTGCTTTTACATTTTTAGTAGATTATTTTTTTTAATCGGATTGCTCAGGCTTTGGTGATGCCTTAAGCACATGCTTCATCTGCCTATTAAATAATCCAGCTCTACTTAAAAGTTGTATTTCCATCCCTGGTTGACTTCTCTTGAAGACCCAGAATACCTGACTGTACTCTTCAGCTGCTGTTAGCTCAGGCAAAACATGAGGTTTTAAAATGACGCCAATCAAAACTCTTACAGGATGACAAATCTCTTGTAAAAATCCACAATGTATTTCTGTGTCATCTATATTTTCTTCCAGGCCCCCTTCAGTTATTTGGGTGACAATGGTGTTACAGAACATAAAATTTTTTAAATGTAGCTTTAAGTATTGTACAATGGGGGAGTAGAAATAGTGGTTGTGGTGATGGGAGGGAGGAAATAGATACCTCTTGTAA